TTCCAGGTGACTCCTAAACCTCCATGGGCTTCCCATCTTGTCCTTCATGTCATCTTCCTGTCGTTATTCGTGTGGGCACATGTATGCACATGTGTGTGGTGCTCAGGGAACACCTGTAGTGCTGATAATAGGAGAGACCTGTTAGTTACAGCTCCCTCCCTCTCTCCCTCCTAGAAATTTCCCCTCCCTTCCTTTCTCCCTTTTTCCCTCCCTCCCTCCCTCCCTCCCTCCCTCCCTCCCTCCCTTCCCTACTTCCTTCTTTCCTGTCATGGTCATTTTCTGACTGGAGCCCACCAAGTAGCCTAAGTTATTAACCCCAGTGTTATACCTGTCTCTTCCTTCCCAATACTGGGACCACAGGCACAAGCCACAAGACCTGACTTTTTAAACATGAGTTCTAGGAACCCAACTCAGGTCCTGAGCTATCTCTAAAGCGCCTGCCTGCTTTGCATTGCCTCCTGTTGTTTCCTGAGAAGGGGTCTTGCCATGAGTTCATTTTGTCATTTACACTCACAGTTCCCCTGCCCCAGACTCTTGGGTTCTAGGGGTACAGGGGTATAACTCCCATGATCAATTTTTTGAAATTACAGTTTATTATTGTATGTGTGTGTATGTGTGTTACATTCTATCAGTCCTTTGCCTCTGAGAAACCTGACTAATAAATCAATCAAACCTGCTGGATTGACTTTAGAATTAACACTGGAGAAGCAAGATTTCAGACACAGCAGTCCTGTTGTTTGGGATTCTAAGCGTGTTCACTGTGTCGAGGGGTCTGAAGGTCACATGCCCCACAGAGTTAGATGAGGAGGAGTCCCCCCAGCTTCCTGTGTACCAGGGCCTTAATGCTGATCTGCAGTTCTGCTGCTCCTCCTGAGCAGGGGATTCTGTCGCCTCAGCCTTTCTACAATAGCGTTCATATGTGGCTGTAAATTTTACTTTGAGACTGAGAAATAATGAGGATCTGAGTTCAATCCCTAGAGCGCATGGTTTTTGGGTTTTCTTTTTTCTTAAGGCTGGGTATTGTGTCTACTAATAATCCCAGAACTGGGGAGCAGAGGCAAGAGAATTCCTGATGGTCAGGGGTCAGACCGCCTAGCTGAACTGGTAAACTCCAGACTGGTGAGAGCTCCTGCTTCAAGAAAGGTGGATGGTTGCTAAGGAGACACCAGAGGTTGTCGTCTGACCTTCATGTGTGTACTTGCACCCTGCCCCCAACACACATATATACAAATACACCCCCCCCACACACCACTTTAATTTGGTTTCCTTTCCAATGCGCAGTCAAGAGGAATTTGGAATACTTGTTGCCTTTTCCACCTCTAGTTTCCATGAAGTACCAGGAGCTCAGTGTCTGAGAGACTGCTCTGCATTCCTCATACTTACCCAGACTCCTGGGTGTGAGGAATGCATTCACACCAAATGCGACCATTAGGGGGCGCCTAGGTCTTGTGCAAACTGAGACAGATAGGGAACCCACTTGACAAGAGAAGGGCACAGATCCTCATTTAATTTAGAACTTATCACAGCTGCCACAAACAGTAACAAGTCATTTCTTGATCAATAGTCAGCAGTTGTTTTCTGACCTTGAGGGATGATAGCCTGTTCATTTTGACTTGCTCTAGGCGCTCTGTTTTGTTTTCTGTCTCCCACCGACTTGGACTGCTACATTGTCAAGGACGATGACATTCACGTGTTCTGAAATCCTAATGGTCTTACAGCTTTGGCTAGGGGATTGGTCTAGGAACTGAAGAACACTGATTTTCGTTGTTGTTTTATTTCATCTTGGACTTTCCTTTTTTTCTTCTTGTTTATTTTTTCTCATACAATACATCCTGATCATAGCCTCCCCCTCCTTCCACTCCTCCCAGTTACCTTCCCCACCTCCCCTCTCCCCCAGATCCACTGTTCCTCCATTTCTGTTCAGAAAAGAGCTGGTTGCCAAAGAACATTTAAAAGAATTTAGCAGGGTCTGGTTTTGTTCCATAATCATGTTTTCTTTTTTTTTTTGGGGGGGGGTGTTCTCACAGTCTCAAATTCCCTTTTAATTCTGGCATTTAAATTAGTGATGACAACAATGATGACCACGACAATGATAATAACATAACTCTTGTGTGTGGGCGTGCATGCCAGATGTGTGGACATCAGAAGACAATTTTATGGAGTTGATTCTCTCCTTCCTCCTCACATGGGTTCCAGGAATGGCATCCATCTTGCCAGACTGGCACAAGTGCCTTTTCTAGGCAGTCTGGCATGGTTGGCTGTTTTTCCTTTCCTTTCCTTTCCTTTCCTTTCCTTTCCTTTCCTTTCCTTTCCTTTCCTTTCCTTTCCTTTCTTTTTTCTTTTCTGACAGCTAGGACTGGGCAGGCTTCCTCTAATGCTCTTCTTTCTCTCTTATGCTGCACCAGAAGGTCCAGTCATCCCGAATTTTCTCACCAGTTCAGTATTTCAGAATCTATATTTTTCTCATTATCAGTTCACTCTCATTCTTATTTTCTTATCCAGTAGCATGAAAAGTATATATTAAAGATTGATTCTGAGTTTTGAATCTTCAAATATGTTCAACTTTTGTGAGAAATTGTCAGGGTGAAGAATTTACAATTGTAGACCCCTCCCCTCCAGATGCTGAAGACTTTGTAGCCCTGCTCTATGTTGAAATAAGAGCGGTGGGGCTGCGTCCCCAACACCCCGGCCGCTTGGCTAGCTCATGCCCGAAATAACAACACACAAACTGTATTCATTTAAGAACTGCTTGGCCCATGAACTCTAGCCCTTACAGGCTAATTCTCGCACCTGGACTAGTCCATTTCTAATGATGTGTGTAAGCACCCCAAGGTGCGCTTACCGGGAAGAGTCTAGCCTCTGTCCATCCTGGTGTCTCTGCTCCAGCGTGCAGAGCTGTTGGGTCTCTCCAGGAGCAGAGCAGATCTGACCTCACTTCCTCTTCCTCCTGTTTATTCCTCCCACCTATCTTTTAACCTATCAGGGCCAAGGAGTTCCTTTATTGCTTAACCAATGAAATCAACAGATTGATATGTGACACTCCCACATCAGCTCTAGATGCTGGAGGCTTTGTAGACCTCCCTCCAGATGCTGGAGGCTTTGTAGACCTTTCTTCAGATGCTGGAGGCTTTGTAGATCTCCAGATGCTAAAGACTTTGTATCCGCTGCTCCAGATGTTGGAAGCTTTGTAGACTTCCCTCCAGATGCTGGAGGCTTTGTAGACCTCCCTCCAGATGCTGGAGGCTTTGTAGACTCCTATCCAGATGTTGGAGGATTTGTAGACCTTCCTCCAGATGCTGGAAGATTTATTGCACTGTCTTTTAGCTTCTGGTTTCATTAGTGGGCAGTGACCTGCTTTTACACATTCTGGACTTGGCTAAGTTCTTACTGTTTTGAAACTTCACATGGATGTGCCTTAGTGTGAGTGCTTTGTTGTACAAACTTAGACACTTTCTTTGCTCTCTCCTTCCCTATCTTTCCCCCTTCCTTCAGCAACCATGTAGGCAGACACTCTGCCATTGAGTTATCTCCCTTCTCAGTCCTAGATGAGCTATCTTAATTTAGAAATGCTTAGTTTTTAATCTGTGGTAACTTCTTCACTGCCTTTGTTAATAATTTCCTCTTTTTATGTTTCTTAACTCTTTTTTTACTCATTAAAATGAGCAGATTGTGTCCCACCAAAATCTTCTGGTGAAAGCCTCAAACTTAGACCATGAGAACACTTGGGGCAAGACCTTTGCAGAGGGCCTAAGTTAAAATCAAGCCATTTGGGTGAGGAGAGAATTCAATTTTATTGCTCTCCATAAGGAAGAGGAAAATTCTACACAAAAAGAGAGACAATACACACACACACACAAATCATGCGTGAGGACACAGAAAGTAGATGGTCATTTGTCAGCCCAGCTCAGAGTTCCCAGGAGAAGCTAAGGCTGCCAACATCTTGATTCTGGAACTTTGCAATGGTGAGAAAATCAGCTTCTTTCATTGAAGTCCTCATCGTATTATTTTGTTACTGGAGGCCCTAGCAAGCAGCACACTGGTTAATCAAGCGACATAAACAAGTCATCTCTAACACAGGGAACTTGCTGGTCTCCTGTGCTAGCTAGTTTTATGCTGACTTGACACAAGCTAGAGTTATCTGAAAAGAGGAAACCTCAGTTGAGAAAAGGCCTTCATAAGGTCCAGCTGGAAGGCGTTTTCTTAATTAGTGGTTGATGGGGGAGGGTCCAGCCCACTATGGGTGGGGCTATCCTGGGCTGGTGGAGGTAAAAGCCAAATAAACCCTTTCCCCCTCAACTTGCTTTTTTGTCATAGTAATCCTGATTAGGACATCCCATAACCAAGAGGTCAGAGTTTGAAGAGCTGGCTGTCACCACTGCTAAATTTAGGGGCCTAAGCAAAGTCACAGGGATGTGGTTTCCTTCCAGCTCTCTGCTCTGCAGCCCACTTTTTATCCTTACTCACAAGATCTAAGGATGGCAGAACATCTAGGAAAAAGGGGCTCATGATAGCTCACTGTGTAAGAAGGGGGTGCAGCCCATCAAGCTGGGGCAGCATGGAGGAGGACACATGGCTGTCACCTGCCGCAGGAAGAGGAAGCAATAGGAAGCAGGTAGGGCTAGAAAAGCTGAAGTTCCACTCCCAGTGTCCCGTCCCTTCTCTAGCTCCTAACTGTTCTGCTCATTTCCCACACAGCGCCCCCTGCTGTGAACCAAGCAGCTGAACACATGCGCCTACGGCGGGTATTTCCCATTGAAACCAGGGCAGGTCGGTCACACGCTCCAAAGTCTAGACTGAAAGGAAAAGAGCCTCTACTTCAGCTACAGCTTAGGAAGAATTAGAAAAGGCTCTTGGTTATTTTTTTGTTTTTGGTTTCCTTTCAATCAGGTTTAGACCTAATAACTGAGACAAGAATTCAGGGGCGCCTCCCCTCTCTCGGGAGGATGAGACGTTCCCGGGGCTTGTGCGGAGCTTCAGTTGCTGGGTGACCTCCGTTGGCGGGCGGGGATGCCCGGAGTGACCTTCGAGCTCCGGACAGGAAGATCGAGGGCGTCCTGACCGGCTGGGGCGACGGGCCGGGCGGGAGCGACAGGCGGTCGGCTTGCGGGAAGGCCTGTCCAGGTGCATAATGGCAGAACGTGTGTCTCCACTGAAGCACTTTGTGCTGGCAAAGAAGGCCATCACTGCGATCTTAGGCCAGTTGCTGGAGTTTGTTACTGAAGGGTCACAGTTTATTGAAGCAACTTTCAGGAATCCGGAACTTGATAGCATAGCAACTGAGGATGATCTAGTGGAAATACAAGGCTACAGAAACAAGCTTGCCGTCATTGGGGAGGTGCTGTCGCGGAGACATTTGAAAGTGGCAGTTTTTGGCAGGAGGAGTAGTGGCAAGAGCTCTGTCATCAATGCAATGCTGTGGGATAAAGTTCTCCCTAGCGGGATTGGCCACACAACCAACTGCTTCCTGAGTGTAGAGGGAACCGACGGAGATAAAGCCTACCTTATGAACGAAGGGTCAGATGAAAAGGAAAGTGTGAAGACTGTTAATCAGCTTGCACATGCTCTCCATATGGACAAAGACTTGAAAGCTGGCTGCCTTGTGCATGTATTTTGGCCCAAAGCAAAATGTGCCCTCCTGAGAGATGACCTGGTTTTAGTAGACAGCCCAGGAACAGATGTTACCACAGAGCTGGATAGCTGGATTGATAAGTTCTGCCTCGATGCTGATGTCTTTGCTTTGGTTGCAAACTCAGAATCCACACTGATGAACACGGAGAAACATTTTTTTCCATAAGGTGAATGAGCAGCTCTCCAAACCAAACATTTTCATTCTGAACAATCGTTGGGATGCTTCTGCCTCAGAGCCGGAATATATGGAGGATGTGCGCAGACAGCACATGGATAGATGCCTTCACTTCTTGGTAGAAGAGCTCAAAGTTGTGAGTCCTTTGGAAGCTCGGAATCGGATCTTTTTTGTTTCAGCCAAGGAAGTTCTCAACTCCCGAAAACATAAAGCCCAGGGGATGCCAGAAGGTGGTGGGGCACTGGCCGAAGGATTTCAGGCAAGATTACAAGAGTTTCAGAATTTTGAACAAACTTTGGAGGAGTGTATCTCGCAGTCAGCAGTGAAAACAAAGTTTGAACAGCACACTGTCAGAGCTAAACAGATACTAGACACTGTGAAAAACATATTGGACTCAGTAAACGTGGCAGCAGCAGAGAAGAGGGTTTATTCAATGGAAGAGAGGGAAGACCAAATTGATAGACTGGACTTCATCCGAAACCAGATGAACCTCCTAACACTAGAGGTTAAGAAGAAAATCAAGGAGGTCACGGAGGAGGTGGCCAACAAGGTTTCTTGTGCAATGACAGATGAAATTTGTCGACTGTCTGTTTTGGTTGATGAGTTTTGTTCTGACTTTCATCCTTCCCCCAGTGTACTGAAAGTGTATAAGAGTGAATTAAATAAGCACATAGAAGATGGTATGGGAAGAAATTTGGCTGATCGGTGCACCA